AGTCACTGATGAAGATATTGAAGAGTACAGGTCTAAGGACAGAACCCTGCGGGACCCCACTACCCACATCTTTCCAAGTTGATACCAACCCATCTACTACCACTCTCTGGGTGCAACCGCTAAGCCAGTTTGCCACCCACCAGACTGTATAAACATGTCATGGCCTCTTAATTTATTTATGAGAATAGGATAAGATACCATATCGAAGGCCTTGCTAAAGTACATAAAACAACATCCACCTCTACTCCTGCGTCTAAGCATTTTGTGACCCTGTCATAAAACGAGACCAGATTTGTCAGGCATGATTTACCTGTTACAAATCCATGCTGGTTTCCCTGCTGCATTATTTTTCTCACATAGGCAATGTGTGTCATTGAGTGCTGCTGAGGGAAGAATTGACCCCATTTTTTTGCCACTGAAATCAGCACTTTGTTGTGCTCCAGCATCAAAAAAAGTGTTGTGAAAGTTTTTCCCCAGCAGCCACAAACACCACTGCCACTCTAGAGAACTAAGATTCCCAGAATACCTTGCACTTCACAACACTATCCAGATGGTACTTGCTGCTATTCCTGAGCCCTACAAGCCAGAATATATGGGGGAGAGGTGGGGAGGAGAGGGGAGCATTGGGCACATTTTTTCCATGTCCTCTCCTCTGCAATCTCCTCAGCACAATCTTGTGGCATGTTCCTAATACCAATATAACAAGGTGGAGAGGGGAAAAATGTGTCTAGAAAACCTACTTTTTTAATTTCATGGAGACTGGAAATACCACAAAGTTGTGCATGCAGCAGAGGTGGCACTACAAACTACAAAAGTAGCTCTCTGAAAAGAATCCCTTCCAATTTGCAGTTCTCTCTAGCAGTTTCATTCCCACTAAGTGTTATCAAACACATGAAACAGAACTGGGAACTCATTACATTGACTTCTGAGACACAATGTATTTTTCCGCTGTAGAATACAGGACAAATGCATTCTATTCCAGCAATACATTTAAAAACACACTTGGTTAAAAATGTGTTTAAATTCAGCGCTGGTAAAACATGCCAGTTTATTTGAATCCTGGACTGGTGGGCAGTGCTCACCAAAACAGCTGAAGGCCATTCCTAGGTTAATTCACAGAACACGAAAAAAGCTGTTAAAGCTCCCACACCTTGCAAAATCAATGAGTTCCTATTCTGATGTGAGAATTCTAGCTTGTATTTATGCCCATGCAATCATTGCTGATATTGCTAACGAGGGTAACATTTTTTACCAATTGTACCAGTGGTTGCTCAGATCTGGGCACTTGCTCCATGGTATTTGGACTTAAACCCTCAAGATATATTCTGAATGATTATGTTCAAACTGTTTATTTAATTGTTCTATGTCACTGCAATATGGTGGTTACACAAAAACCACTGAACACAGGGAAGTTGCATTAGTTTAAATTTAAAAATCACTTTAACACATATAAGTTAATTGTTGCACATTTCTTTGTGGATATGTTTGGTTAATGGAAGAGTTGACTTAAGCTAAACCAAAAAAAAAGTGCTACTGTTAAAACAAAATAAAAGCATCCACCCAGAACTTTGTATGGGTTTAACTTCACACTTTAGGTTATACTCATGCAACTTTTCCACGTAACTAAGGACTAATAATGGTTTACCCTATCTCAGATAAAGTGTGTCATTCCTGTTATGCTTGTTGTAATAGTGGCAAAATTTAGGAATCCCAGTACAGATCTGAAAGACACAGAAAGTACTCTATCCTGCAACATGATTAAATCGAGCCTTAAATCCATAACTTATTTAAGGGTGCATGGAAATGAAACATCTTTTTTTGTTACTTTTGTAAATATATGAAAAACAGTATTTCTGGTGACAAGGTCCCATTGGAAGCCAATTAGTTTGGGCCTTCTCCTTTATATCAGTCCTACAAATGACTGCAGTTAGGCACAGTACTTTTCAGAGGGATAAGATTAGGGGTAGATTGAAAGGAACATATACTTTATGTACATAAAGATTTTCAATAGTGTCTTTAATGTTACATGAGACGATTTAGGTTGACTTGTCTCAACTCTAGCCAGTATTTTCATAAAAAATAGTAAGTAGAAAGAAGACACAATGATGTTTATTTACCTTTGTGGAAATCAGTCTGCAATTTGCTCAGCACCCAAACCTCTCAGCACCTCCTTGTAGCTAATTAGACTCAGAGTACTTTCATTGTCCTAGCTTAGGAAAACAGGCCACTCCATAGGGACACTTCCTGTGCAGTTTGAGATGGGTAGAGAGGAAAGATATTTTCTGGCAAATGTGCAGTTCAACTCTACAGGAGATTTAGATTCTGTTCCTGCCTCTGCCACAGAATCCTGTGTGACTGGACCCAGTCTCTCTTAGTTGATAGTGCTGGAAGGGACCCTGCAAGTGCAGGGGTTTGTTGTTCTCTTGTTTAAAATTAGAATAACATTGCCCTATGCCAAGAGATGGTCATGGATAATGATGATGGAAACATTGTTGACAACAGGAAACCTGGAGAACAATGAACAAACACACTTCGTTAGTTCTTTCCCAGTTCCATAATGACAATTAAGAATGAAGCCTCCTATCTTGGCGTACTGCCTCTCAGCCTTAAGATGAAGAGCAGACAGAAAATATATGACATTATACGTATGTACTGTTATATTGATACACAAGAACATGGATTCTCAGTGACTCTGAAGGTATATCAAGTTGCCAAAATTAGCAAGTTTTTTGGTAAATTAGTATAACAAGGTTATTCCTTTGAGGTACATTTGATTAATTAGGCTATAGATATGGGATTTGGAAAGTCAAATATGAATGATCCTGGTTTTTATATTTTAACTTTCATATATTCAGTCCCTTACAGGTATAGCCTAATACATTAACACATATTTCTTTCATATTTCATTTTTTTTCTGAAGCCAAGTAAAAAATAACCAGGGAAGTAACTGGAGGCTACAGACTTCCTTGACTTTAAAAAATATATACATGCCAAGAATGTTTCCTTTATTCTCTCAAGTATAACAGTGATACCCTCTTCCTTTGTACATGTTTTCGAAGGACTCATTAATTGTCCAATTTTGGCAGTTCACAAATTCTGAGATACAGCCAAACTCTTTCCTTTGACTAAATCAGCAGTGCTCACATTTTTGTCCCTGTGCACCAGATGAATGGTGCAGGGCCAGCCCACAAGCTGGATAAGGTTCCATGCCACCCCCTTGCACTGGGATCAAGTCAAGGGAGCCCTGTGCTGCCTCTGCCCAGCCAGGATTGGGGTCCAGGTGCCCTGAGCCACAACCATCCACCTGGATCAGGATCTTGGGGCCCATGCTGCACCCCCCAGCTGAGACTGGATTCTGGGGGCCCACACTGCCGCCACCCAGCTGGGACTGGGTTAGACAGATCCACGCTGCCCCTGCCTGGCCAGCATCTAGCTCTGCAGGCTGTGCTGCCCTTGTCCAGACCCTGCTCTACATACCCAATCTAGCATTAAAGCCCATGGCCTACAAAGCTTCCCACAGATCTGTGCAGAGCCAAATGACAAAGCACCAGAGGCTGGATCTGGCTTGGGGGCTGCAGGTTGAGCACCTGGGTCTACAATATTAGCCTTGTTTGATTCTGAGCTCAGCAGAGCCGATACTTAACAACAAATAATTAATCTTGTGTCTGGGTTAGGAAGTCTATGCAACTGGCAGGACCTCAGGACCCCCTTAATGTGTCCTTTGGGTCCCCACTTATTGGCAAATGATGCCCATAAAATGTTTTATGTTTAAATTGCAGTACTAGAATAACTGTATAGTTAAGCACACCCAGGGTTTTGGCAACTGTTGAGCCTTTCAGTTCATGGTGTATGTGTGAGGTCACTTAGACCTTTGATGCATATGCCTAGGTAGGAGTTTGGAGAAGTGAAGCCTGCCTAGACCTTCCATCCCCCTTTTAGGCCACTGAGACAGAGTCCAAAGGCCAGACTGTCCAGATGTTTGATGCCTCCATGGCTGTAGTCATATAAGCAGCTGGAAGTTGAACTCGGGTCTTCTGTGTGGCAGATAAAGATCCTACCACTGAACCACAAGGGACTGCATCAAGTACACTAGAAAACCCTTTAACAATAGCTTGCAAGAATGTCCAAGAATAAGCAGCGTTTTGAAAAAAAAAATACTCACGCAATGATCAGAAGGTTAGGATGGACCTTTGCTAAGCTTGCTTATACTTCAGCTTCCTCTTGTAAGTTGCATAGAGTTCCTTTTTCAAGATCATTTTCTTTTAAGGAAGCAAAGGGCTACCTGAGCCCCACTGCTCAGCCAATCTGAAAAAAAAATGTAGCAAATAATAACCAGTAATTTAGGCCAATTTCCCCCCCTCTTACTTAACATCTGTGCGATCCCATTGGTTTAATAGATTCTAAGGTAGGGGTCCTCAACCTTTTTAGGTTCAAGGCACCCCTTGGTAGACTCAAGACACCCCTCAGAAAATGCCAGTTTTTAGTTTTCACTCCTTTTTTGACTATGGAAAATATTATAGCAATTTTTCTGTTGCAAAGAACTCAGAAAGACTGCACTCAATCAATTTTTTTTAACTCTGTGGATTCTTAGTTGAAATCTTTGGGTTTATCTTGTGAAAGCTGTTTGTACACTTAACAGTGCTAATGTTGTGTGGCATGCTGTGGCACCCCTGAAAGGATCTCAAGGAAGCCAGCGTGCTGTGATTGAGATTCACTGCTTTAGGGAAAACAAAGAATGTTAAATTATCTCATCTGACCTCCTGTAGAACGCCAGACAGAATTTCATCCAGTTACACTTGTATTACACTGTTATATTGATATTACACTGTTATATTGATACACAAGAACATGGATTCTCAGTAAGTCTGGAGGTATATCAAGTTGCCAAAATGAGCAAGTTTTTAACACATATTTTGTGTTTCATATTGCAGGATTTGAAGCTGTTCAGCACAAGAAGCTTATCAGAAAATCAAGCTGGAATTATACACCTTTTTCACACACTGGTTATTTAGTTTTGATTAAATTGGATAAGGATAGAAAACATTTAAACATAGATTAGTAAATTCAGTTCTGAAAATCATAAAAAAATTAAAGTGTTGGGCAGTAGGGGGCAGAAGAACAGCATCAGACAAGGAGACAGAAATTACAGACAGCCTGAGATTCCAGGAACTAGATATATATTTTGAGCCATTGTGGACTTTAGTATACAGTATTTATGCACTCTGCTACCTAATGGATTTAACTGTCCCATGAAATTATTATACGACAGCATGGGGACTTGCTGGATAAAATGGAAATGCTCAATCACATTTATGAACCACATATGACTCAAATGTAGAACATATATATATCATAATGCCATCTAATAACATCACTTTAGTTGACAAGCAATTGTTTTCACTTTAATGTTATATATGCCTAATTTTAGGATTTAATCCTACTAGTTGAATCAAAATTGTAATCTGGCAAAATACAATGCTCTGAGTGCAAATTGTCAGCCTGAAAAATAATTATTTTTCACACAGATCCAAAATGGTGGTGTGCAGAGTAAGAGCAGATCAGAAAAATACTGCAGGTGGCTGAAAATGACCTGGGATTTTTTTTTTAATTTGGAAAGGATGGATCATGCATAATTTAACTGACTGATCCAGAATAGGATTCTTGAAACAGCTAAAAGCATTAATACAATCCTCCTGAGTGACAGGGTACCCATTCCCACTGAACTAAACCCTGCAGGATATGCCAAAAGGAAGGATTTAAAATCCATTAAGAAATCTTTTGTGGAGTAAGGCATTTGGTTAGATATGATATTCCCAGCCAAACTGAAGGTGTCCTGCTGAATTAAGACTTCCTTTCTTGCATGCTGGATGAGAATAGCACACCAGGACAAAATTAAACCAGGCAATGCCTCTGAAGTTCATGTTCTGGGCACAGCCACCTGAGCATGTTATCGTTTAGAAACTCAACCTTAACTTCTATTGGTTTCAATGGGAGTCTTGCTATTAATTTCAATGGAAGGAGGATCGTGCTATTTGTATGCCCTGTGGTAGTCATAATAGTGCCTATATGTATACACTGTTCTGCCAACACTCTTGGAATTAGTCACAGTTTATATGCCTGCATTCAGTAGCTTTAGGATTGTTGGTTGTAGCCGTGTTGATCTAAGGACATAAGCAGACAAGGTTCTTTGGGTAGATGTGATATCTTTTATTAGATCAACTAAATAGTTGGAAAAAATGTTCTTTGCAAGCTTTTGAGCACAAACACCCTTCTTGAGGCATAGGGAGATTTTGACGATATAATATGTGCTCTCCTGGGTAGAATAGAAACCAATATGCAAAATACAGGTCTGTGAAAATGCAAATGCATGGCAGTGAAGATCAGGGGGAATGGGGGACAATGGGTGTCAGACAGGTAGGTGGGGACAGGAGGAAAGTTGACCTGGTGATAGAATGTAGTCGGTAAAATGCAAACAGGTTACCTGGGGTTCTTGGATGTTAGGCACGTCATAATGTGCCATAAATCCAATGTCTATATTTAGTCCATGATTTTTTGTGTCCATGGACTAAGAGCTTTTGGTTAAGTCGTTTTTAGATATTTTAAAATGCACATCAAGGAAGTCTGAGTCCATTTTTAAAGCAATTTTAAAAAGTATTTACATCTGATTTTCAAAAGAGCTGATCACTCACAAACCCAGCAGAAATTACTGGAATCTGTAGGTGCTGAATGCATCTGAAACAAGGTCCTGTATCCCAGAAATATGACCCAAAAACGGAATAAAAAAATCAAAAACTGAAATTGCTGCCTGAATATAATTGGGGTAATTAAATGTTTGAATAACTAAGATATAGTTGCATCTGAGCTGAAATACACCACAAAATTGCAAGGCATGGAAGTCTAGGTTTTAAAAAATCCACCTCATTCCATTCTTGTTTATGTTAATTGCAAAATCCAAATTTACTTCCATGGGAACAGAATTAGGCCAATGCCGATCACTTTTGGAAATTCAACCTAAACTGTTTTAGATGTTTATCAAGAGAAAAAATGAGCCTTGACATAGGGCTAAGCTTAATTTTAACAGGGTTTTTTATTTGCTTATGAATATAAGAGCAAAAAGGAGTGCCTCTCAGTAGTTTACTGGAAAACCAAGCAGTCAAAGAATGCTCAGAACTTAAATAGATTATCAGTAGCAGAGAGAAAATGTATTATTTCCTCTTAGCTAAAAAGAAACAAGAATGGATGGCCAAAGTGCTGGAAGTATGAAAAATGGAAAAACCTATTGCTGCTCTTTAGTCTCCACAGAACACATATTTCTACAGTAGAGGGACCCCGTAGGACATTTCTGTGGCCAGAGAAAAATTATACTTGCTTCATTGCTGAAAAGAACAATGTATAGGATATTTCTAAGCTTTCTCTTCTCTTTATACATGTGATATAAAGCATTTGGTATTTCATTTATTCGGATGAAAGAATTAAGTAAGCTTTATTTTTTTTAAGAAGTGGTTATGGTTGATTCTGGAAACTTTGTGAGGTTTGAAAGGCTTTACTTTTTAATGATACAAAGCTTTCTTAGCTGATTTGAGTTTCAAAAATAACACAGCTGGGTGTGACTTGGCTCAGCAGTTTCCATTTACTGTGTAATTGAAGATCTCTTTCTCCACTGTAAAATTTTAAAGTAAAATGCAGGAAGGCACACATGCTGGTGCCCTTTCTTTTGAGTCTGACATTTTACATTCATTTACAGAAAAATGAGTTGGAGGAAAAATAAAAAAAAGAGAATCACACAGTTAAGCTTTTCTGAATTCCTCTCTATGCTTTGGTGCCAGCTGATTAAATTTATATTAGCCATCAGAATGCTACGTGTTATAAAACATAAAATGATTGGAGGCCAATCAAGTGTAGAATTGATGTCTTCTGCCTACACTAAAGCAAAAATATGCTGCTATGTACAAAATGCTTTATTTTAAAGTTTGATGAGATTGTCTGAAAAATAGAAGAGGAGAAAGAACATAAAATATAAGAGAAAAAAATCTATCAACAGAAATATAAACATTTGCCATTTTAAGATATTTTCTTTACAAAAACAAAGCAAAATACTGTATAGTTCATTATGTTATTGTTCTTATTTTTGCCTTTCCATAGGATTATAATAATTTAGATTTAAAAATACAAGTGAAGGAAACCATACCTGTCAACTTCTCTTATTTCAGCCCACATACACCTGCTGTTATTTTGCATTTATTACTGTAAATTATGTTTATTAGAACTACAGTGAATAACTCATGAAGCTGAGATTACATCAACCTTGAACTCTAATGAAAGAAGTCAATCTTACTTTGTTTGAAGTTGCTTAAATAGACATGTCTTTTGCCCCTCAGTAAGCTTACTTAATCCTGTATGGGTGCCTCACCTGGTAAAAATCTAGGAAGTGAAATTAAGACAGAAGCTGTTTACCTTTTAGACCCTTATCTCCCATACTTTGCTGTAAGCCCCAAGAATAAGATCATAGTCCTATTGGTGTCAATGGGAGCTTTCTAACAGAGTGGCTAGAGACAGACATTACACATACTGGTTTAAGTGATCAGAAACTGGTTTAAACCTGTAACAGAACAGACATTCAGTGCACATAAACCAGTTTCAAAATGGCCAAAACTGGTTTCAGATAAACCTGGCTGAATGTAGTATCAGGCTTTACTGATTTGACAGACTTAACTCAAATAGGTTTATGCAAAATCTGTCCCAGATTGCTTGTTGGTTTAAGATAAACCAAACTCCCCCAGCATCCTGGCATGGTCTCTGGGCTAGGCTGGGCTCTCTGCTCCAGCCACAGGGCTGACCCTGCCCCACTGCTCTTTAGCCAGAGCAGAACCAACCCCTGTGGAGATACTCGCCGGCATGGCCCTGTTAAGGCAAAGTGAGCAGGGAAGGGGTTAATTCTTTCCTCCTTCCCCTCTTCTCCCACTGAAGCTGTGGTCAGCCTGTCTCCTGGGGAGCAGAGAGGAGCGGGCTGCAGTGGTGGCCCCTGCAGCTGGAAGATCCTGACTGCAGGGAAGGGACTGAGGGAGGAATTAACCCTTCTCCCGCCCCCTTCACTTTAATGGGGCCATGCTGGGTAGGCTGTCGTGCAGGGTGGGGAGGGGGGCTCTGTTCCATGCTGGGGGGAACTCTTCCCCCTCCTTCACCCCCCCCACCAGAGGGGCAGCGGGAGCACAGAGCTCAGCTGGACAGGCTGTGGGTGTGAGAGGGTGGTGGGTGTAGGGGCCCCCACACACTCCCCCCATGGCATGCAGCCCCTGCTGCCTA